CATTTCGTTTACATCGGAGCCCGTAAGCAGAACAGAAGGATTGGCAGGATGTTTCATAATTGACGGAAGCGGCCTGTTGTTGGTCCGGTGGCCTAGCTGATAGCGACGGCGAGCAGTGGAACCTACTGGGGTAGAATAAGCAGCATCGCGAGCGTGGCGGTTCCGATCTTGTTTGCTCGTAAAAAGATTGTGGTCGAGAACCTTTTTGAATTCCCTGTGTAAAGTGTCAACTGTCTGGCTGTGTGTGTTGAGTTCACGGAGGGTCCAACTGGCAAGTTTAGTCGAGAAAAGTGTGGGAAGAGAAGGTTGAAGGGTGTTATGGAGGGTGGTATCTGTAAAGTACTCGGTTTGCAAGCGGCGGGCTTCGCGACGGGTGGGCTTGTCAATATTCTGCGCTCCACGAATTTTGGCTGCGTACAAATTTGCCAACAGTAGTCTGTAGCGCTTCAACCAATGTAAAGCATGTTGCGTTTTGCCAGCAATAACTGTCTTGTACAAACGGTGACCTGGGGTGTGCGGCCCTGTGTGGAATGCTGTGGCCGGAATGGTTACAAAAAGAGTCGTGAGCTGTTCATGCAACTCAGTCAGTGCATCATGCGAGAGGTGAAGCGGCGGGTCAGTAGGGTCATGAAGCAGAGCAGGAGCAAGGGCGGGAGGGACAGTGCGTTGCCAATCAACAACTGCTTTACGGAGGGCAAGTTCTTGATCTGCAGACAGATGAGCCGTGTCAATATCAATCCGGGGACGTGTAAGAGGGGCAGCGGGATACTCGAGCCAGCCATGGCAAAGACGAGCTAGGCTAATGTTGTGGAGGACGGGTCGGTGATCAGACAAGCCAAGAGGTTGTGTAACTGAGGAGTCAAGGACCTGAGTAGGTTCACAATGGTCAGGGGGAAAGGACGTAAACATTTTGTCAAGGATAGAGCGGTATGTCTGCTTTGATGAAGAGTAAGTAAAATCATCATAGGCTGAAAGTTTGTCACGGGCCATCGGGTCATATAGATGGAAACCTTGATCGGCTAGGTGTGTGAGAAAGCGCAATAGGTGTTGAGGTGCTGCAGGGGTGATACGCTCTGTTGAGTCAGGTGGGTCGGCACGATATATGTCGCGCTCAAGGTCCAGATAACTGTTCCAATCACCAGCAAGAATTGTGTGCCTGTTGGATAACCCAGAAGATGTGTCCGCACGGGGGGCAAGAGGAAGAACATAAGAGGTAAAAGCCTCCCAAAAGGCGGCCTTTTGCTCAGGTTGCGCCGGAGCGTAGGCGCCAATAATGTCAATCTGAATGAGAGCCCCGTTTGGAGTAGGGATGCTGAGGGTGCCGTGCTGGAGGCGCGCGCGGAATTGAGAGATGTCACCAGAGGTGGATCGTAAATCTATTCCAGCCTATATTATACCTAGCTAATGGAGTTCGACCACTAACACCTGTGGAGTCTCTACCTCAAGCCATCAACCAATGCCCGCTGCCCTAGGCGTTTGTACGTGACCATTGGTGTGCATGACGTCATCTGGCGTACTGGAGTCCGAAGTTCGAACAGGTATTGCCATCGATGCACCTGTGACCTTCCTCACCAACTCTGAATTAATTCACAGCATAATCCTTGTGGACGTGTCCACAGCTCTGTGGTTGTGAATGATTCTCGGCCGCAAAATCTTCGCCGGGCAGATGTGGGTGTGATGCCGTCCGGAGCCGGTAGAATGAGCTGGGCATCGATTTTCCCCACCCGCAAAAGGCGGGTCCAAGAAAGAAGCCAAGGCCGGAACCCCGGGGGGGTTTTGAACGGCTCCAGTGTAGTCTAATTTAGACATGCTTTAATGTAGAACCGTCGATAGGAAGTTCCGTTTGAGTGAGGCTACTGCTAGTGTATAAGCCTAAGGAAACACTCATAAGCGTTGCTTATAATGAACTCTAACATATAAGAAAATAACATAACTTGCTTCTAGATGTAGAATTCGGCGTATACGCCTCGAGTTGCTTATGGTAGTCCTTTGCTCTTTTGGGGACCTGTAGGACCATAGGATGAGAACCATCGACACAACCCCTATCCGTACCGGTAAAACGGTCGGATCGTATAATAACACCATCGATCTGGCGTACTCACAGGGGCTAAAATTTACGGAACATTTTTTCCCGGGACAGATGGACCATCATTGCACAAATTTCGGAACTCCGTACGGCGAAAAATGATTTCCTGGAATGCCGGCGGTTCGACCTCGAATGGACTCTGGTTCCAATGCTCGTGAAGTTGAAGTTGCAGTCGTAGAGAAGAGGGAGCTCTAGGCATCACGTTGTGAGGATGTTGCGACGCTCAGCATATCAGGGCAGCGTTTGGCAGATGCAATTTCGCCGCTGGCCGGAAGGTGATTCTATGACGGTGACGTGTACCTTTCTGCTTCTCTTGCTCCTCCAGATGACAATGTCACACCAAACTTAGTTTTGGCTGGAGGCAACCATTTTTGGCTCCTTCATTCTAGCAGGTAATACCCGTTTTCTGGGGCCCTTCCTGCCGGCGATCTACAGATAAAGCTTCACTCTTAATGAGTACAGCAAGTTCAGAACAAAGTTTGGTGTTCCAGATAAATACCGCAGGCACGTGAGTTGAACGCACGCCTGAAGAATCTGAAAGCAACAGATTCCAGAGCAGCAGCAATGACAGCCATACAGTATATGCACCAACATGACAACGACAAACCTCCCGATCAGCATCACGGCGGGACAGAACATTTATCTTCATTGAAGGGACTGGCAAGATGTTTTCCTTGTGGGGGGGGGCAGGAGGAGGCTGCTGCAGGGGAGCAGCTACCCCCCCCCAGGGCTCGGCGGCTGAAGCGCAACGTCTCGATGCTGTCAAAGTTGGCAGAAGGGAGTGGGATGGGGGAGAGGTATGGCCCTAAAATCCTCTGATCAGGTTTCCGGAGCTTGGTCATATGGCTCTGGTCTTGACCATGTATGCTTGGATTCTCTCCGTCTGAAGCGAGTGCTGGTCCTGTGAACCGAGCGTATTGAACAATATGGTCACCTAGTTTAGACCTTGATGAGTGTAGCTCTATGAGAGCCGTTGCTCAACCTGAGAACCTGGGAAGAGGCCAGCGCTGAGGAGCCCCCACCCTTTACCCCCAGAGATAGAGCCCTTTCCTGTTTTATTGATTGTGGGTTGGGAGCAGGGTTCTAGGTTATGCTCCCCTTTGCTGCAGCTCCACAATATTTGGTACCCAATTGACGAGATCGACACGAGGCAAACCCCAAGCAACTTCTTCTACCCTTCAATCACATGAATACCATTTGTCGAGCCAGAACGAACGGAATGAAGAACTACACCTTCGCCTATTCTGTGTTTCCTGCATCAGCCATTTGTAATATGCAGCCGGTTGATGAGAGCCCATGGAATGTCTCGTCAGGCACTCCCCTGGTCCCGCCACCCGATACAGCTGAGCCTTATGGAATATGGGGTTTCGTTGACTCATTTTGACACTCGTCAGCTGCTCTGAGCAGTGTAGTTCTGGAAGTTGCATCTGGTCAACAGAGGCCGGCCCCTTATCCTGTTTTTGCATTTACCGGCCGCATGAGGACATGAAAATCAGCCTCTAGTATTTGAAGCTTTTGGGTATTTGTGGACCACCAAAACTCTTCTGCACAAACGCACCATGCCCCAACCTTCATCCAAGCGCAACAAGTTCGACAAGCGGCCAGCCCCGAGCAAACTGCCAGCAAACTGCCTTGGGCAAACTGCATATTACTCTGAGAAAATGCTAATGTCGGCTTTGAGTTGACAAGTTTACAGAATTCTGGCGTTTATATACTCACGCCCGTCATTACCTTCTCGTCAATTAATGCAGCTCTGCGACAGCTGTAAGCCCACTGCAACAGATTGACCAGCCCCCAGCCCCCAGCAAAGTGCATAAGAAGTCCTCCCACCCCATGGCTGATCAGGACATGAAACTTCAGCTCCTACTTTGAGAAACCGGGTGTGTAACTTGTCATCTGTCTTTTCTGCCGGATGCAGCTCTGCGACAGCTGTCACGCAACTGCAACAGATTGAAGAGAGGCCAGCCCCGAGTGGTTTTCTAGTGGACATTCCCCACCTGACCACTAGCGACGTAAAACTCGTCCAAGAGAGTTGGGCCAAGGTGGTGGAAGCCCATGGCGTTGGAGCGGTGACCCTTTTCTACGTGAACTTATTCACACTGGCGCCGCACCTGGAGTCGCTGTTCAAGAAGACCAAGTGAGTGTGTTCACACTGCCTTTTCATTCTTCGAGAACACACCACACTGGCGCAATGCTTGAAGTTGCCATGCGAACTTCCAATCGGGTGTGAAAGTTTTGTATGCTCGTCTGCATCAAGCCCGGATGCTTATACACTCATGATCGATGTGAAGGCAATTGCTCTTGACACCCGAGTGCAGACAGCAGTATGAGTAAGGTCAACAAGTCCGTCTTTCACAATATTATATCGCCCTGGGAGGAGTGCATAAAGTTCTGGCACAAAAAGCTGTTACAATTGATCAACTTTCACTTTGGGGTCTGCTTGCTTTCTGTAGTCAAACTCACCAACAGCGGTATCCTAATGTCTTGAACAGGCCCTTAGGAAACGCTGCTACTAGGTTTGATGTCTATCTCTATGGCAAGCGGCACGTGTGCAAGTATTGTCCTACGGTCCTCAGCTTTGAAAACCCTAAAATGTCACCTTTATGTTCAAATTTGCACATTTTGATGAAGCAGAATCCACTGGAATGATGGAGACCCGGATTGGCCACCGAGCTGCATCGCAACCAGGAAAAGTTCTGTTGCAGCGTTGACATATATCCGTAGGGCTGAGAATCTGGAGCCCCTTAAAAATGCAAAACCCCAATGATTACGAGGCTCTTTACTTCTGCACATTTGCAGGAATCTACAGTCACAAAGAGTGGCTAATCGACAAGGCGCACAATTACCACCTCTTAAAGATCGAAGTTCCGAAATGGCACTGCTTCGAAAATGGAAGCCCCACATGAGGAAGTTGTCACTAGATCGGCTGAAACGTCTAAGAGACCACTTCAACAGACACGATGGTTGACAAGTGCACATTTAAGGCTTTCTTCACGAAGTAGACTTCAAAGATACTGTTGAATGCCCCACAAACGAGTCGCTCTCTGCAGGAATATCCAAGAGGCAATGTTTACGGACATGATGATGACTCTGGTCGGCAAACTGCACGATTGGGAGTGGGTTGTGAGCGCACTGGAGGCGTCTGCGATCCGGCATCTGCGCTATGGAGTGTCCGTCTCCATGTTCCCCGCAGTCGGGCAGGTGAGGTTATATGTAACCGCTCTCCTTAAGTGCTCCAATTAGAGCTTTTGGGTTTGGGACCCGGGTTACTAACCCAGGGTTTGGGCATTCGGGCTACGGCGCGCTGTGTCCATGTTTCCCGGTAGTTGGGCAGGTGGTAAGGTTACACGTAACCGCTCTCCTTAAGTGCTCCAGTACCCATTAGGGCTTTTGGGTTTGGGACCTGGGTTACTAACCCAGGGTTTGGGCATCTACGGTACGGCGTGTCTGTGTCCATGTTTCCTGCAGTTGGGCAAATGAGGTTACACGTAACCGCTCTACTTAACTCCTCCAGTACTTGTCAGACACTTTGGGTGTACTTATCAGAGAATTGGGGTTTGGACCTGATTCATCAATCTGTTCTTAAATCTGCACTACGGCGTATCATGGTCCATGTTCCCCGCGGTTGGGCAGTTATGGTTGTACTCAATGTTCTATTTCAGAACACTTAACAGCTCTGGTACCTGTCAGAGACTTTGGGATTGGACCTGGATTTCAAGCCAGGCTTCGGCATCTGCGCTACGGCGTGTCCGTGTCCATGTTCCCCGCAGTCGGCCAAATAAGGTTATGATTGACTGCTCTAGTTATCGTCACAAGCTTTGGGTTTGGGCCCTGGGTTTTCACTCTCAGGCTTTCCTATTTGGGGATTTGGTTTAACAATTCCAGATGCGTTCCGGGTTTGGATGTGCGCGGCAGCGTTTCGAGTTCCATGTCCTCAGCCATCGGGCGCGTGGGGTTATGTGCACCAAATTCGTTAGAGCGTTCAAAGTTTGGGACCCGGGTAATGAGATTTAGTGTCTGGGGACCTGCGCGCTAAAAGGACTCCGGTGTTCATGGTCCCCTCAGTCCAGCCGCTTGATCCGTTTGCAGGAGGATTATAACTACTAAGGACTTTGTATGGAAAGGTTAGGTTAGGGTGCCGTGAGGAAGAGGACATCTGGTCTCTTTTTACCAACTCTAGAACCGTGAAAGAACGTCGCTGCGTTGATTCCGAGCAGTCAGTCTCATCTTTCTCCCCCAGAATGGCACCAGAGCGCAAAGGGGGACGTGGCTGCAAAAGCGTGTAACTCTCCAAACGTCGCTGTCAATCAGCAGACCCGCGGACGAGTCCACTCTTCCAGCAGTTGCAAAGCAGTGCATTCCTTTACTTAGATTTCTCCTCTTTTCCCTTTCCCCAGGCGCTGCTGCAAACGCTGGACATGGGCCTGGGGGTCCACTGGACTCCGGAGGTCAAAGCGGCCTGGATCAAGCTCTGGACCGCGATCGTTTCTGTAAGCTTCGCACAATTCTGCTGCTCCTTGTGTTTCTGCGTCGAGGATAAGGTTTTTTACGCCCCTGCCTTTCGGTCTATATTGCGTGGAGTTCGCATCTCTTTCGTTCCTCTAAGTCGAGCTCAATTCCGTATCCTCTCCCTCCTTTTAACCAAACTCTGGACCTCGTTGCTCTCTTTTCGCTTCCGAGTCATTCTTATTGAGACGTGTCTTCGCTCTTTCGCCCGTCGTTTCTTGCTTTGATCTCCCTCCCTGGATCGAATGCTCACGACCTCAAACAACTTCTTGAGCTTCGCCGCTCTTGTTCCCTTGCTCTTCCTTTGCACTCAGACTCGCTTCCCGTTCCTCGCCTGCTCTTTCAACCCTCTGTTTTAGTTTGCCGGACGCTCCCGGACGGCCCCCGAGGCCAAAGCCCTTATCCGCCCTTAATCAGACGGGAAGAGGAGTCATCAGAAGAGGGTTCTCCTTCCTTACGGTCGTCTGCTATCTCAGCGGTACGAGCACCAATCAGTGATGCGAGCAAAGAACACGTCGCGATTGACCTCCGCAAGCACAATCTTGCGCTTCACGGACTGCCGCTTTTGAACGTGCCGTGGCTCTTGGAGCGGTCATAGTGTGACAAGTAAGAAATAACCCTCGTCTCTCAGGATCTGGCTTCCAGCGAGTCCTTTCCCCGTGAGATTTGTTCCATGTTTTTCAATCAAATCAGCCCAGGCTACAGTCTCCACGTTCCGTTCCGTTGACCTTTGTCGTCTGCCGTTGTCTCTTTTAGTCATGTCGGTGCACCTGGGGCAGAGTCCTCTTCACTCCGACTCAACCTTCAAAAGCCCCACTAAACTTTCCTTCTCCAGGCAGCAGTCTTAGATTCCCCTTCCACTTATTCTTGGCGCCTCCAAATTCGGTTTGGGTGATGTCCGTGCCCTTGAAGGTGGACGCCTCCACCCGTACCGTCGTGGGCAACGTCTCGCTCCAGTCACGATCGAGCTGGACCGACCCCCTTATTCCGCTTCCGCTCGGCTGATCCGTATTATTTTCCGTTCCGCTCAGGTGATGTCCGTGCACCTGAAAGCTGACGCGTTGACCCGCGCCGTCGCGTGCAACAGCCTCGCTCTAGTTGCGGCCGAGCTGGATCGAGCGCCCCGGGGAGAACGTGTGGAGCGACCGCTGACCAAAATGCCGAGCGGACTGACCCCCCTGCTCATGGCGATCCGAGACAAAAAGGTCGATCTCGTCAAGTGAGAAGTCAAACTCGAGAATTCAGCTGTTCGAAACATTTCCGTTACTGGCAATTGATCAATCAAACGATCGGTCGAACGATGGCGCTCACCAGAATGAACCCCCTGCTCATGGCGATCCGGGACAAGAAGGTCGATCTCGTTAAGTGAGGGCCGAAATCGCGACACTCATTATTCCCGTTTACGTATCTTTTTGAAACGAGCAAATAAATGGATGGAACAAACGATCGAAGAAAGCGGTGACCGAAATGCCGCGCGGATTGAGCCCCCCGCTCATAGCACAAGAAGGGTCGATTTGGTGAAGTGAAACCCGAAATGCGAAAACTCAGCTGTCGTTTCCTTTCCCTTCTGGGCTCATCTAACGACTCCGTTCAGACCGCACCGAGTAGAACTCAAAATTGGCCATGCCTTCAAGTCAGTCGCACGGGAACTCGGGTTCTAGTCACAAGGCCAGGAGTTGTCAACAAGATATTGATAACCGTGCTAGTACATGCTTCTGGACGCTTTGGCATCCGCTCGCACCTCTACGAATGTTCTACCATCTTTGGGAAGCGAATGGGGTAAACGTTGCCCGGTTAAGAGCTTCGATCACTTCTACAATTGCTCGACACGTTCAAGGTCCCGTTACACCAACTAGAGAAGCGAAGCCGGAGGGGGAGACAATGCAGATGGCGACAACCCCCCACGAAGAGGAACTTCGAATTTTCCAAATGGCCCGAGAAAGTTGGTTAACACTCGGGTTAATGTGCAGGTACATGCTCTCGGACATCCTATCCATCCGTTCTGACCGTACCGGGTATTACTACGGCCGCGCGCAACTTTGGGCGACCCACCCGACGATCGTGAACGAGATTGTGGACAACGTTCCGACGGCGATGAAGGAGTTGCTTGATGGGTGCTACTGGCAGAGCGGCCATTCCACGGACGGGTCCTGGCGGGTGGGTTTCTTAACCCACTATTCTCTAGTCATTGTTCATTGTTGGGTCACGGAGATACCCTTTCGATCTAAGTCGAAATCCTTGTTGGCTAGTGTACTCCGACGGCGCTAAAAAATGTGCTCAATGAGTGAACCGGCAGAGCGGGCATGCGACGGACGGGTTCCGGCGGGTGAGCTTCTTAACCCACTTTCTTCTAGGGTCCAGGATTTCTGGTTACGGAAGTACTTGTAAGTTCGATAAATGACCAACTTTCCTCTGGGATTTAAGGTTTTGGATTATGGAGGTACCAGTTCCTTTAAGTTGAGATCCTTCAAACAGATGCCGAGGGCGATGAAGGACCTGCTGGCCGAACTGTCACTCCGTGAACGGACTTTGTTCTCATCCTATCTCGTGGATGTACTCAGCTTATCGCTGTCCCAAAAGAAAATCCGTTCCATTTCGCAGGCCAACTCTTTCTATTCTAGTGCCTGTGCAGGAACCCCCATGACCATATCGCCCTCCTTGACTTTCTCTCCCTGTCAAAGTTTGGTATTCCGTGAAGCGCATGCAAACTTTTTGAGACCGTTTACAGGCACCCCACGAACCCAATGCTGCCACCAACCCGAGTTCACATTCTCTTTCTCACAACTCGTCTCTCTGGTTTCCTTACCCCTTTTCTGTTTAGCACAAGGTCGCCACATTTTCTTTCTTACAACTTCGTCTTTCTGGTTCCCTTAACCCTTCTCTGTTGTATCCCGCTGGCCAACTTTTACATTCGGGGCCTGTACGGCGAACCCCAGAAACCGCATGCTACCATCCACTTAACCCAACTTCACCATGACTGTTTCACCACTTCGGATTCCTGGTTTCCTTAACCCTTTCTCTTTCATCCCGCAGGCCGACTTCTACATTCAGGGCCTGTACGGCCAATCCCACAAAGTATATTCAACATGCACCTAACCCGATTTCACAATGGTCAAATTACCACTGCTTCTATCTGATTTCTTTAACCCGTTTTTCTTCAATCCGCAGGCCAACTTCTACATTCAGGGCCTGTACGGCGAACCCCATCGGCCGATCTCCCAATCACTTTGGCACAGTTCACCACCTCCTTTCCTGAAGCTTTTCCTTTGATTCCTGAACTCTTTGCAGGCAAACTTTCGCTTGTGCGAGCACCCGAAAATGCGAATTTTCTCTCATTCCTTGACCAGTTTTCGTTCCATACTGCAGGCCAACTTCTACATTCAGGGCCTGTACGGCCAATCCCACAAACCCAATGCTACCATCCACTTAACCCACGTTCACCTTGTGGATTCTACCATGCACTTCGTCGTTCTATTTACCTTAACCCTTTTCTGTTCCATCCCGCAGGCCAACTTCTATATTCAGGGCCTTTACGGAGAACCCCATCGGCCGATCTCCGCAATCACTTTGGCACAGTTCACCACCTTCTTTCCTGAAGCCTTTCCTTTTATTTCTAAAGTCTTTGTATCTGGGTTTGCGCAGGCAAACTTCCGCTTGTGCGAGCCCCCAAAAGTAAGGATATTCACTCATTCCTTGACCCGTTTTCGTTTTATTCCGCAGGCCAACTTCTACATTCAGGGCCTGTACGGCGAACCCCACCGACCGATCTCCAAATCGCCGCTGGCTCAGATGCTCAACCTGCGCGACAACGAGGCTTTCCAGCACCCCGTTACCGGAATCCTTATCTTCCAGAAGTGGAACATGTTCGGGCGCCGCGTATTCTTCCGAAACATGGTGATCGGATGCTCCGCATTCCTGCTTCTCGTGTTGGGGTGAGTACAGCTCTATCGAAGCAAGCTCCTCGTTCGAGTGAGAGAATTGAGGCAGATTGGTCAGTCTTCCTTTTGTGTGAATCTAGACTGATCAGGTAGAAACTGGAAGGTTGCTCGGAAAGGACGGTGTGAAATTCAGAGCGTGTGAATCTAGACTGATCAAGTTGACACTCAAAGGTTGCTCGGAACGTGCGGTATAATATCCTGAGCTTGGCGACTCAGTTGAAAGTAGACCGCGCTCTTTCGTGTCAATCTACCTCGCAAGACGACGGTTTGCCGTTCCGTGCCCTCTTCTGGGTCTTACCTTAGAACCCAGTTACCTAACCTCCTCGATCCACAAAATTCTGGACGCTTTGCCTTTCAGAAGGTTGACAAACAAGGGTTTCTCTTCGTAGGTACGTCGCTTGGCCTCGCCAGATCGACGGCCTGCCGTTCCGTGCCCTCTTCTGGGTCTTCCCTTAGAACCCAGTCACCTAACCTCCTCGAACCACAAAAGTTTAGACGCTTTGACTTTCAGAAGGTTGACACAAAAGTTTTCTCTTCGTAGGTACGTCGCTTGGCCTCGCCAGATCGACGGCCTGCCGTTCCGAGCCCTCTTCTGGGTCTTCCCTTAGAACCCAGTTACTTTACCCCCTCGAGCCACGAAAGTTTAGACGCTCTGATTTTCAGAAGGTTGACACAAAAGTGTTTCTCTTCTTAGGTACGTCGCTTGGCCTCGCCAGATCGACGGTCTGCCGTTCCGAGCCCTCTTCTGGGTCTACATCATCGCAACGTTGATCGCCGAGATCCGGCGCGCGATAGCCGTTGGATTCATCGAGGCCGGTTTCTTGGGCTTTGCGATCCCGATCCCGGTCCACTTCCTCTCGGTGATCCAGTTCGTGCGGCTCGTAATGGACATTTTGGTCTTGACGGCAATCCCTTTCGAGCACACGTGGAACAAGACCGGCAAGTGAGTCACCAAACTGGGTTCAAAACGGTTGAGGATTTTTTCGCTTTCAGCGGATTTGACGGAGTCCTCAACGGACTTTCTCTCGGTGTCAAGTTCGTGAGACTCGTTCCGGATCTGCTGGTTTTTGCGGCGATTCCATTCGAACACACGTGGAACAAAAGCGGCAAGTGAGTGAATAAGCACACGGTTCAAGCCTTTTTTTGGTTCTCAACGGTTTTGACGCTTCTTTGAGTTCTCGACGAAGTTTCTCTCGTTGATCCAGTTCGTGGGGCTCGTTATGGTCTTGATGGCGATCCCGTTCGAACACACGTGGAACAAGAACGGCAAGTGAGTAACTAAGCACACGGTTGAACCCTTTTTTTGCTTCTCAACGGGTTTGACGGTAATTCGAGTCCTCGACGGGACTTTCTCTCGGTGATTTTGTTCGTGAAACTCCTTATCGATCTGCTGATTTTTGCGGCGATACTGTTCGAGCACACGTGGAACGAGGACGGAAAGTGAGTAGACTCAAAACGGTTGACCCTCCCTTGATTCTCATTAGGTTTGACGGATCTTTAAGCAAATATCTCGGTCCGCTTCTCTTGATGATCGAATTCTTGAGACTTGTACTGGACCTTCTAGTCTTGGCGGCGAATCCGTTTGAGCAAGCGTTCAACAAGAACGGGAAGGGAGTGGCTGAACTGGTTTTAAGACGGTGGGAGTTCCCTTCTTATGTATAAATGTGGGTGACAATCTTCTGAGCGATGGTTTTCCGAGAACCATTCCGTGCGGCTTGGTGTATGCATATTTTGGAGGCACTATGTGGAAGGAGACGGGAGAATGGATGACAGCACGTTTGAAGGCATTGCAGAGAGAAACGTTTGGCTCTCCTGTTGGGGCAAAGCAAGTCTGGGCGGATTTTGAGCGAGCATCCTAAATCCATCCCGTTTCCCGTCCGTGAGGTAAAAAAGAGAGTTCAAATGCGTAATGATCGAAACGGCTGGTCCTGGCGGCGACCCCGCAACACACCGCGTCTGAATTCTCTGAATCCCTGTTAAAGGAAAGTTCACTTTTACGAATAGGAGTCTCAAATTGCTCTCTATCCTCGCAAAAAGTCTGCCCGGCCGAGGGTTCTGCTGCCTCTGATTGAATACCTTGTCACGTTCTCCTAAGCTCGAAGGCAAATCTCCTTCGCACGCGGGCGAGTTTGCCGGAGCAAAGCGTCACTAGTCGCATGCGTTGCAAACAACACAGCCAGAAATCAACCCAACTACGTCTCGCCCTTGCAGGACCACGGAAAGCATCCTCATAGCCACGGCGACCATAGCGTATTGCTTCCAGCTGCTCCACTACTACCTCGCCTCGCGCGAGCTCTCATCGTTCGTTTTCACTCTGAGCCGAATGATGTACGACCTCGTCAAGTTTATGGCGGTGTTCATACTCATCTGGGTCGGCTTCGCGCTCGCCTTTTATATTCTTCTGGGCGATCTGCCGACCCCGGAAGGCTCCTCCGCGACTTTCACGAGCGTTAACTGGTCTTTTACCACCTTCTTTATCATGCTCTACAGGTGAGTATTGATCGGTCGTTCAATACAGCTCTGTTCGAGCAATCTGCCCATTTTGACGTATGTTAATCAGTCTGCTGCTGGCAGATGTCAGTCTAGATTTGTCGCCACTACATTCATAATGCTCTATAGGTGTGGATTACTAAGTCAATTCATAAAAGTTCCTTTCGAGCAACATGCCACTTTTAATAGGAATCCTTTTGTGGGTTGGTGAGTCTGCTGCCGACTAAGATTGCTCTGGATTTGTCGACGCTATAACTGGCAGGTTGCGCGGGAAAAGCTGTAAGGCAAGCTTGCCTGGAGTAAGCAAGTTGATTGCTGAACATAGTACGCTTTTATTGAAGCGTTTGTTGCGAAAGGTACTTTAGTATGCTCAATTGGGCGTCGCAACTCTTGTCTGCGACGTCAGGCATCAGACAATCACAGAAATCCACACTCGACAGTCGGCCTAAGGCTTGTTTGTTCCCTGTTGCAGCTGAGTTAGACTTTCCAGGCCATCGGAGATCGCCCTGATCAGGGGCGTCGCAGATTCTGGCTGCCCTATCAAGTAGCATTCTTAAATTTCCACCGCCAACTTTGAGTTACCAACTTCTACCATCAACTCTAAGTACACTTTTTCTGAGACTTGTCTTCTTACTGCAGCTATGCCGAGTTCGACTTCCAGGCCATTGAGAACAGCCAAGTCAGGGCCGTCGCAATCGTTCTTTGGTTCTTCTACTTGATGCTCGCGAACCTGCTGCTATTGAACCTGCTCATCGCCCAGTTTGCAACGACCTACGAGAAGGTCTACCGAGATAGTTACGCCGTCGCGCTGAGAAAGTGAGTATCGCACGAGCCCCCATACTGGCTCACCCTTTTTCTGAGCGCTTACTTGCAATGCTGTAATCAAATGTGCATCATCTTAAGCTAGCCCAGACTTGTGCACATCCGCTTATCGTGAAGCGCATCCGTGGCAGCAACTAATTTGATTCGACCTCAGAAGGTCTTTGTAGCCCGGAAAATCTATGAGTTGGCCCAAAAGATCACCAAAGCCCTACCGGGTACCCATCGGTGCAGACGGCAACAAGATAACAAAAAAACCAATCCACTTTCGGCTCACCCCAATCTACTCCTGGTGCCGATTCGGTTAGGGGGCTCGTACGGTACTGCCAACCTCGGAAACCCACAGGAAAATCTGGCTGCTAACCAGGCTGATTACCAGATTCGAGATCTCAGTTTCTTGGACCAATATCCGGGCTTTGACCTCGTTCCGAGGCTGGCTACCGCCCACTTCTGCTTACTGGACACATAACCCACAAGCAGCTCGTAACCGTACATGATTAAGGGCCAAAAAGTCCTGTGTTTGTGCAAACCTGTTCAAGTTTTCGTCGCCCACTTGACCAAAGTGTCAACATGGACGGGGTTGACGAACAACTCTGGTAATAAGCTCGGTTCGGATTGCGTCAACGGCCAAAGCGGAGCGTCAACAAACAAACCGTAGTCCAACGTAACGATTCCGAAACGGAATTTTGTTCGAACTACTTTGTAACAATCCGGACGAAATTGCGGAATCATAATCATGATGAATCCGACAAGAATCCAAACGCCTTATATTGTCACTTGGAAACGGATATCCTAGCTGGTTCTGGCAGTTTCATGGCTTCCAAGGACCATTCTAAAGTTGGTCAACCTTCCGAGTTTCTGATTTTCCAGATGCATAGAAATGTTTAAACGATAGAAATGATCACCAGGTTGGAGTACGGGTGATACAATAGCTTTTCTCCCTGGTTTGCAGGCTCGCCCATGAACTCTTAGCGATCGAAGGCACCTTCTCGACCGAGGAACGGCTCAAGCACTACAACAAACTCAACTTCGACCAGCCCCTCGAGTTTGACGAGTTTGACGCGGGGCCGTCAGGAGGCATTCAGGTAACATACGCTTTACCGCTTTGCTCACACTTATCTGCCAGTAGGATACGCTATTCCGCTGTGCTTGTGAGCTATCTGCCATCGGCCGCCTTGTGAGGGGTCCGTCAAATAGCTTTTTGATGCGCTCGACGACGGCCGACAGGAATATACGCTATACTGCATTCAGCCGCCGTTTGAACCGACGGTGCAGTGCGATCCGCTTGCAACTGGGCCGGAACGGAAGAGAAGCTGAAACCCATTGCAATTTGACCTGGGAGAATGCACAGGAACCGGAGCGATTGCGGCCCCCGACTCGAGGCCGGTCCGCACTAATTCGCTTTCTGCATCTGAGAGAGCAGCCGTTCGAATATTGCTGATCATTCAACTCGCTGCTGGACTATTTACATGCTCAGTTTCTGTGTGTGCCCTTAAACGAATTTGATTCCGGGCGACTCGATTACGCCCCGTTTGAACGCTCGGATTGGAATCGCAAATACCTTGCCGGAATTGCGAGTGTAACGTGCGCTTGTTTTGCCAGTGCAAAAACGCCGTCTCTTCGTGAACCGCACAATATCAGCGTCACAATGACGATCTCTTGCTGACACCCATTCCAGAATAACGTCAAGCAGGTGCTTCAAGACGTGGACACGTCAGCCGACAAGATCGTGGACCGCATCCAGCGGTTCGGCGGCAAGTCCGCCCCCGATTTGCCCTGGCCGGGGGAGACCACCGAGAACTACAACCTCGTTTCCGGCCCGGACAACGGAACGGACGAGCGGAAGCCCGCCGCACCGGAACCGGCTCAACGGAAGCCCGCCTCACCGGAACCGGGCCATCGGAAGCCCGCCGAACCGGAGAGACGAGCGGGTCGTCCGGCTGCCAGCGGAGAGGGAGGAGGGGAGGGGCCGGGCGCGGCAGAGAAGAGTCCGATCGAGTTTTGGAACAATAAAGGGCAGGCGGAGCGTTTCCGGATGATCGCAGACTGTAGGGACGACTCTTCTCTTACGGAGTCAGAGGCGTTTTACCGGGCGGGCGTGTTGAGGGGCCGGGGGGATGGGCCGGTGCGGAAACGGCGGGCGAGCTTGACCAGGATCGTTTCCGCCGCGGAGCTCGCGGGGCACAAGACGCCGAAGTCCAAGTGGCTGGCCATACACGGGAAGGTGAAGACTCGCTTCTTGCCAAGCCCGCATGAAATCTGATTGCAAAATGTGGTTTAAATACAGTGCCTCGAAATCCCAAGCCAGCGAAGGGTTCTGGGAGTCCAAGTGAATTCTCGCTTCTTTGCCAAGCCCACGGATCTTGTTGAGTACTGTTTGATTTCCGGAGGTCGACAGCAAATGCATCTGAAGGCAATAGAGATTGTTCGCTTTCGAACCGGGAGAAGTCCGCGCTTTGATCAATCTTGCTTTGATCCGTTTTCCAGACAACCATTCTCGGAGGCTGATTTATTCACAGCTTTTGTCGAGGCACTAAGGAAACGTAGGCGTCGCCCCATCCTTGATCTACGACTCTTGTCCACTACAGGGACATACAGCCTTTGAAGTGTTGGAGAGTCTCGCTGCGAATCGTGACCATGTACTGTTTTGGGCGACCGCCAAAGCGGAGACCGTGCTAAACGTTCGCTAAGTAGGAACGCTCTTCCAACGCCCTCCCTATTGAAAACGTGTGTACTCATTCGTATGCAGGTGTACGATGTGACGACATTTGCCGGTACGCATCCCGGGGGGTTGATCATCGACTCAGCATTGGGACGCGATGCTACTCAGGAGTTTGAGGCTTCCGGACATAGCGATTACGCACGGGGCCTCTTAAAGCCGTTGAAGGTGGGGCGACTATTGCCAGCACCGTCAAGCGATCAGCATGGCTACTTGGGTGGTTAAAAGAGAGTCATATATAGGGGCCCGACGGGTTGCATTTGGGCGTTCACTGCGCGTGAGCCTGCCCGACAACCCGCTTGATTGAGGTCCATGCATTCATGCCTAAAAGCTCGACCATAATAAAAAGAGGCGGGAAAAAGGCCGGTCTCGAGGATACACTAAGTGGTTTGTTGACGTCTAGAGTCTAGACCACATAAAGGCAAAGCATACTAAATCGTCAATTATTTGCTAAACTTCGATGAATCTAACAACTAGAACAGATCTGGGTGGCCATTGGGCCGCGTCGAATTAGGTCACCTGCCGCTGGAACATACATAACAAGGTTCGCTAGGTCCATGTACAATGATGCCGAGCCCTGGAGTCTACATAGGCGTGACACGTCCGTCCATGTGAATTCGGCACTAACCTCTGATACTGTACTTGCACAATGCTCCATGCCTCGGATCTGATATACCCGGGCTATAAAAGAAGTATCCATACACGTACATACGATCATGTCTCTGCGATGAAGCGCAACTGGCGGCGGTAGATATTCTGCAATCACTGAAGAGCTGTTAGCCACACTGATTCATTAGTATGGCCCGGGCCGGCAATTGGCTACCGTACGTGACCTGAGCTGTAGCCGATGTGTCCATGCGAACTTACTAGTGACGCATTAACAATGCGCCATTGTCATAGCGTTCTAGAAGTAGCTTGGGAACATGCCCCTAACTCAGCCCGGTTGCTTGATGGAGAAGTGGTCGCATTTGGATGAGATTCGTTTGCAGGATAAGGTTCGGAGGAAGTGTTAGGGGCGGCCGAGCTCCGAACCTAAGCACTGGAAACCAAGACATGCACCCGACTACTGTACCGACCAGCAGTGTATATAGCTGTTAGACCCGGAGCCTACCGTCGGTAGACATTTCACCGTGCGATTCGCGACCGGCCTAGCTCAAATCACTGGCAACAAATTGAATCGACACCGGCCTCTACGAGTTATCGCGCTTTGATGTACGAATTGCGTGCCAACGTCATATTAAGTTTACACATACCGCAGAGGCTGAACCCCGCGACCGTACGGTACCGCTGTTCGGTCTGACACGTTAGACCGTGAAGCATAGTTGGCGGGCTCTGCGCGCGCCGTGTGGCATAAAATAATATTATGCTCGTGTGGCCGTACGATCGGGTGCACACTGTGCACGCGCAGCCACACTGTGCACGCGCAGAGTATTTTGCCCCGCAATTGACACTACTTTCTGCCTGCTGTTCTGGTAAGGCACATTTGCACCGTCGATGAAGCTTTTGACGGCTAAAACTACCTTATCCTGCGCGGCAATCCAATTTGAGATCTGCAGTGGTGGCTTCTACGGCCTCCGAGTTAGGGGCATGGTCGCGCGCTACTTCTAGAACGCTATGTGTACCTGCAACCCCGGCGCCTCAATGACGGCAACTATAATCGGATGAGGAGACTTCGATAGTACGTGCAATTATTACAGCAGACTAGCTGAATTATGCATTCGAAGCCAAAGTAACTCATGCAGAAGCTCATTGACAGCTTGCAGAGCCCAATCCAGCTACCTGTACACGGTATGTGCGGTGCCAATCTTTCTCTTCATGGTCTAACTGAGCCAGTACATGCGGTATGGTTTGTCCGATCCGGCTCCGTCACCAGTCACGGGTTCTAGCTAGCAGTGCAACTACCGTACGTGATAAAGTATAGGCATGCTTTATTGCTCAAAGCTGAAGGTTCGCGATCGAGTCTTGGGTCGAAGTGATGTTTCTACCGTCGATCTGTTTCTAAGTCGCGGCTTCCGATTTGCAATTGCCTGAAGCCTGCAGCGCAACCCATACCCGCTAATGGTCTTGCATTAAAAGCCCCCCCGGGAAACTGGCAAAGCGATATTCAGCGGTCTTTAGTGCAGTGGATGACTACTGTACGGGTGATGGCAACGTCCAACAAGGCGGGCAACAAAGACAGTTTGTTCCTAACCTGCTACGCAACCATTTTCGCAAGCCTAGAAAAAGTTGCAGTGGTTTCCAAGAATGTTTGACGGGCAGGATAAACAAAACAGTCTTCGCTCCCACACACCTTCGACGGAACGCGCTGTAAGAGATTCCAAGCAAGTTTGACGTGCACTAGAATGGCTGTTACCGCTGTTACCCCCCAAAAACGCCGACGCCTCAACACAAGACGAAAACCTTTGGTACACTACCCCTCGTAGATGCTTTTTCAATGTGAGTCACAACGGCTGTCGTTAGTCCTGCTTAAGGGAATTTCTACTATGATATACACGCTGTACATTCCCCGTATATTCCGTTCTCCTCCTCGCGTGCGGTACTCCTTCCTGCTGCACCTGCCGGAACCCCGATCACTTCAAGAAACCAAGTCGACGGGTCGGCTCATATCGTCAGTTCTCGTTGCTCTCCCTCGTACCTGCTGCTCGCCGTCTCACGCCCGTGCAAAAAGGGTCACAGCTCGCTTCATCATTCCGCCCACTTCTGTTCGTTCGTTCCGCTCATTCCGCTCACTTCATCACTTGTCTAATAGCAGCTGATGCCACTTGTCCGCGCCCGGTAGGTGTCCACCGTCCATCACCGCTCGTTTCGTCATTCCGCCCACTTCTATCTGTTCGTTCCGCTCGTTCCGCTCACTTCATCACTCGTCTAATAGCAGCTGATGCCACTCGTTCGCCCCCGGTAGGTCTCCTCCGGGCAGCCCGAGGACAGAATCCCACCCCCTCTGATACCTCTCTTCCTCCGATCCTCTGAACGTCGTCATGATGACGTCAGTCTCTGACATCTCTGTGCCGTTTCGTTCCTCTTTTGGCGAGTAGCCACTCTCCGTTCCGGTTTCAGAATACTCGCTCGAACGGGGGTATGCAAAGAGCGCGGTCGGGTTAACTTGCGCGCCCGGGTTAGCCCAGGTTAGCCCCGGGTTTGTAATCTCGGGGGCGCCTTCTCTTCCAAACCTCCAGTGGGGTTGCAAGTGGGTCCTCGCCCTCGCTCCGCCCGTCACAATTCCGAGCGGATTCCGCTCCCCCTCTCGACCGGAACATAAGCGACTCCTGCCCCGGTGCCATTCCCCGAGAGACGCTCCAGCGTCAAGAGGCACGAAGTGATCTCTGACTCGTCATGAGCTCTGCTCAATTCCACCAACGTTTTGCGCGTATTCACACCATCCGGGTAGACATTCCTCGTTTCGCTCCCAGACTCAGGCGGCAGAGACAGTTTCTCGTTTCGGGGGGCTTCCAGCTGCGTCTCTTGCTTCGCAAGCAGCCCCCCCGCCGCGGATCCCCCGATCAGCGTTTGCAGGAATTGGACTATGGAGCGCATTTGGGAGTGCTGCTCCCGCAATCGGAACACATCCGGGGGGGTAGAACCCCCGGGTTTTTTACAACCCAGCTCCAAGTCCGCCCCTTGCTCCTCCACAAGCGACCGGAGGTGGTCACTCAGCAGGGCGCATAGGATCGCGTCGTTCGTTCCCGGGGGGTACATTGCGCGCTGAGCGGGACCCCCCGAGGCGAGAAGCATTCCGGAGCTCTTGTTCCGCTCCGTTCCGTTCCTCGTTTCGGTAGCACAGCGCCCGGGAGATCCCCCCGACGCCCGCTTCCGCTTCCGCACACCAGCCTGCTCGCGCGGATTTACGGCGACTGCTGCTGATGTCATCCTCAGGCCAAACCCTGACGTTATCGCAGCAGCTTCCGCTGACGCAGCAGCGGAAGGGGGCTGCATTCCGCGGAACGCCGTGCGGATCGCGTGCGGAATTGGCTCGGGGAATGGGGCCGTCTGAAAAGCGTGGTCGGCCGAGGGCCTTTCCGGGGCGAGAAGCGGTTCGCGCCGGGAGTCCCGGTACCAACCGGCGGATGACGTGTCCAGGCTTGTTGCCATTCGAACCGGGATCGTGACAATAGTCGGGGCAGAGTGGGGAGCCAGAGGAACGCTCAAGGAGCGACGGGGGGTTACGGGTTTAGGAATAACCCTATCGAAATCCAGGGGTTCGAGATCCGAGAGCTGAGAGGTGAGGAGTTGTGAGGTCGAGTTTCGAGGGCTTAGAGGTCTAAGACTTTTGGCAAAAAGTCCCCGAAGATCCGCATTTCGGTCTTCAGATCCGGGGCTCGCGAAAGAGGGAGCGTCAACCCCCAGGTTCTGGGGGGTCACCTCGACTTGGAAAACCCCCCCCTGCCCGTACGGAAAAGCGGCTCCCGCACCTTTTGACCAGTCGAGGGGGTCGGTCGGTGATCGACCCAAGGTTGCCGGCGGATTCCGCCTCCATTCCGCTGCCAATGACCGGGCCCACGCTGAATGAAACCGCAACTCCGCGGTAGGATTCATCGGGCCGTCTGCCAGTCTTGGCAGTACTTTTTCAGCGGGGCTCGGTTTTACCGGCGGGAGCGCTTGGGGTCGTTCCGGCGGCGGTCCGCTGCGGAATAAGAAGGACGGCCGGATTGAGAGGAGGTATAAAGGACAAGTTTTCTCAAGCAATGCCCGGGGTGGTTGAGAGTTTACGCAGGGGCGGGTCAGTTGTTCGAGATCAAAGTGTACCGCTCGGTCATGCAGAAATCTGAGCGTGTCGAACCGTGCGAGATAACCCGCTTCGGATCAGCCTCTTAAAATGCAAACTGCTAAGAGTGCTTCGTAATGTTGTACATCCGAAGCACTGCCGAAGGGAGCTCGCGACTCGCAAATCGAACTAGGAATCTGGACAAAACATGTACTCGCATTATTTTCCGAGTATGAGAGTCGTTTGAACGCCCGCTTGCCACTCGAAGAAGAGTAAAACGTGTCGTCGCTCGTTGCTTGCGGGACAGAAATCTATCAGCGGGCACTGCTGACACGACATTCCACCTCTCTCGTCAACGGCAAGGAACACCGAGAGATTGAATTCTCCTGAGTTCTAGTAACTTAGACGAAGCATATCGACTTGACCGCACTCAAAGAAGACGTCAGAAACAGCCCACTATCCGCAATTCAGACACCTCACCTTTCCGCACTGACTGCTTTCTTCACCGAGCAAACGGCCGGGGACGTCGTCATTGCCGCCTTCTGTATCGACGGAAACGAAATTCACTCGGTCAGTCAACAGCAGAGCGACTCCTGGACCCTTGCTAGGAGCTGTGTAGGTGCGCGGAGCAAACGCGTGTCCGCCTCCCTCTTAAAACAGTGCCGCAGCCTGAAGTAGAACGTGGTCCTTCGTAAAAGACTAAAACCCGTTGACTGCGCATTCGCGACTCTTAGAACCGGACGCTCACGTCAGCAGAAGCTTTCTTCTGAATGTTGCCAACACTAAAGAAAGAGCGCATCGTGCGTCGAAGGGCGCCAGTGCTCGTCCGACCGGCGTGCGCAAGCAAAGAAAACAAGGTTGCAGGTACAAACATGATTCGGAGAAAGAGAGCGAAACCGAGAATGAAGAGTCGGAGCTTCTCGTTTTTGACCCGCTGGTGGGAGTCAAGGAGATTCTGAAAACGATCCGACAATCGGCCTTCAATAGGCGGTAGTGATCAAACGACCAACCGCATGGCGGTTGAAGATAAGCCGGCTGTATGCGGTGATTAAGATAGCTCGAGTTACCCCAAAGTCACAACTTGCGCGCATATGGCAGTTCTGCGTTGCCCTCTGGGTTATGTTAGTCAGAGTATCCCTGTGAAAGACAAGCGCGCACCTTGGCAGCGGTGATCTCTTTCCAGTGCGCTTTGATCGCGGCCTGGCTTCGTCCTGGCAACTTCTCCGCGATAGCCGCCCATCTACAAAATGCCCATACAAAAATGATTATTTCCCATTTACATCCTTATATCATATGAAGTTCACGCTCCCACAATCGGCGCCTAAAAGGCGCCCAAGTGGCTTCCAGCGCGTGCACCAGGTACGTGTCAGACATCAGATCCGCCTGACACCACAAAGGCACCATTATTGCCCTGACTGAGTAATCGACGCCCAAGGTATACGTATCTTTAGATTGACAACTAGATTTCAAGCGTGATTTTATTCCAACTCATTATGCCGACTGCTGGAAGCAAAAGGTTACAACACGCTCCAGTTGCCTTCGTTGCCGTCTTTTTAAACGACTCTCAATCAGCTGACCTCTTCCAACGAAACCAGGGTTTCAGAATGTGCCAGGTTTTCTGTCTGAATCTGCCTGGCAAAGCTTCTCCTGTCAAACAGGATGCCACCATGCGTATCGCCGCTTATTTCTGACGCACCTGTTACCATGCTCCTGGTGTAACGCCCGCAAATCGTGCTCCTCTTCGGGCGTCCATTTCCGCTGCAAGAAGAGGACGCGACCACGTGTCAGTCCCCTGGCGGTCCACGTGTCTTCCAGCATTGAAGCACTTGAGAGACTCGGTATGGGGAATCTGTCTGTTTATTGAGGGCTCTCACTCGCAGAAGCTGCAAGCGCCGCCTCTCCCTGCGGCGCTCTCGTAGAAACATCCGCTGAGACCGATGTATCGTTTCGCCAGCTAGCATTCTGGAGCCTTTTCGTGCAACTGACGTCAGCGTCTGCGCTCATCCTCTCTGAGCGCCGAAGCCGCTCACGGGCCGTGACTATGGGTCGATCGTATGTTGTTTGAAGGACACTTCATGTATCATTCCCTGGTGATGTCGTTTTAAGTAATCACGAGTGCCTGTTTGGTGCGGCACCGTTTTAAGTGAAAAAACTGCCGGGCTTCTCAAAAATATGAGAGTACTACTGACGTCAGCATCTGCTGGAAGACCCGCTGACGTCACGGTCCTTCTGAGGACTCCGTGGAGAGCTACGACTACTCGAAGACGGTGCACCGTGCCCATCAAGTAGCTGCCACCTAAGAACAACCATCCGCACTGCTGACGTCGGCGCCTGAGCTCAGATTGGCACTGCTGACGACGTCGAACCGGGGGCCTCACCGAGGCCAGTTGCGGGTCGAGCGCGGTGCGCCACCGGTGTCGGCACTTTTTGGCGGACCGTTTGCCGAGCAGCGCACGTGCGGCTGCCTCCCAGTCGGTCGTCTCGGGGGATCCCCCGACAAACGCCGCCAAAATCGCGTCTTCTTCCTGACATCGAACGGCAGAGGTTTCGCTGGTTAGGAACCTTTGCTGCTTGTGGTTTTTGACAGCTCTGGAACCGCTCGGAGGTAATGGAATTTGTTGCGTGATCTATACGGGGCCTCTTTCTGGTCAGTTGTCTGAGAAAAGGCTGCCACTGGATTGCGTCGCTCCCTGCTTCTAGCATGGGATTGACGTTGGTCAGAAGCCTCTCCGATCCTGATTTCTATTCGAGGGATGGTGTTCGATGCGCTAGAGTTCTTTCGTCAACATGAAAAGCTTCCTTGTCAGTGCTCGAGTCGACGGTCAGACAACGGCTCAGAAACGGGGGTTTCCGAAACAGTATAAGAGCGGGATGAAGATGTCAGAAAAAAGAGCGATTTGCCCTATATGAAAAGAAAGTCTCAAAAGAGAGGGTCACAAGCAACTCGTACGTACCAATGACTTTTGAGGACAGTTGGTCGTTTCCAGTCAACTCCACAACATCATCTACCCAGGAAAGGTGAAACTGACGGTCCCAAGGACTCGTGAAACCCACAGCTTTCCCTTAGAAAGCGCTGCTACTTCAGAAAGTCTGACCGTCTCTGAAATAGAGACAAAACCAAGATGGGTTACACAGGGCTGAAAAAGAAGGATGAGCTTAACCGTCCATTGAAACCAAAAGATGCAAAAAAAACCAAAAAGATGCAAAAAACAAGCGACTGACAAGCGGTTTCCGGGAGAGGAAAGTAAGCGCACCTTAGCCCATTTGGTGCGATTCTTGCCCGTGCGCAACTTTACTAGGACGTCCGAGTCCGAAGCGGAGTCTGGCTCCAAGACCCCTCCCTGCAGATGCACGAAGACGACGTGAGCCAGACGCCCATGAAGGAAAATCGACGCCAGGTTTACGCAAAGGTATGCTCAGATTCTTCTTGTCAGTGATTTTTCAAGTCAGAACCTTCGGCTGAAGGCACGAGTCTGGAAAAGGCTTGAGTCGATGCGTTTGGGAGGGTCAGCAAAGTAAGCTCGGATTCAAATCTTACAAAATGATATTGGTCATGTTTGGGTTAGAAGAGAAGCTAGTGTCTTTAGGAGCAGTGAGTCTTGATTTGAAACGACATGGTACCAACTAGATCAAACAATCTGGAATACGGTTGATCCCGTCAGCAATCGTCGTGCTAGAGCAAAGGGGCCTTCTCCTGCCAGCAAAAGCAAAAGATGAAGATTATCTGAAACCCTTTTCTTTTCAAGATTATCCAACCCCTCATACACCTGAAATTTCCTCAGTAAAGTGCTCGGTGCTGAAAAAGTGAAGCCCCTACATAAGAAGAGCCCAGAAATTTCATTGTCCACCTTTTTGAGACCGATATCCGCCTACATGTGTCGCTGTTGACTCGCCTTGAGAGGCAGCCTTTTCACACTCTGCCCCTCCGCTGGTGTGAATGCCTCCCACGCAGGCAACTTTCTTCCCCATCCCCATGGTGTAAAACGGCCCCTGGTACCCTTCAGGAATACCTTTAACGCCCCCGTTTCCAAAGTCCCCCGCTCCCCTGCTGAGCACTTCTGCGCCCCCTCCTTGAGAACCCAGCGCCTTTGGCCGAGCATTGTTGGAATCCCCCCCTCCAACGCCAGGCAATTCTGACCCCCTCTCCTGGCAACCACCGGCCTTCAGGCGCGAAAACCAAGCGTCCCAGGTCTCGAGCACAGCTTGACTCATCACGGGCTGCAGTGCGTTGCCAAACTCCTCCACATGCGACGACATTCCCTTGAATCCACCCAAATTTGATTGGCTGATGCGAGAAGCAGATTGCTCCGAATCGCCGGCTTCTCTTCTGATGAAGGGGCCCTCTTGGGTTTTGTACAAGTCCCCTGCTTCTTTGCTGGTTATGCTCGCAATGCTCCTGAGAAGTGGACACCGTTTCTCCCTCTCACTAAAATTGAACCCCACTCTCAAGCAATCCCCACCAAAACTTGCGCCGTTACAAAAGTCCCCAGGTGTGGAGTACTCCAATAGGTGATTGACGCCGCCGCTCGAAAGAGAGACTGCTTAGCCCACGCCAGGGAAAAGGCTGTCAAAGGCCTTAAGGCAGGGCAGACTGTCAGGACTCGCCCTCAAGCCACTGCAAAAGAAAGTCCAACACAAATTGTGAGATAGTATCTGGTAGGACCTCTAACACGAGATGCAACTTCTTTTGGAAATGGTTTGCCAGCTGAATTTTTATGAATGAGAAGAGCTGGATAGTGTCAACTGGTGCTTGAGGACTGCCTGTCTGTGCAATCAATGGGTACGGCAGAGGCTCAATAATGCACATCCAACATTGATACAAGGAACCAAGTGACGCTCATGAAGCGGCAATATTCTGCTTTCAAATTGACTTTTGCAGCAGGGGTGCCCGCAATTGAAACCCTGTTCAGCTCAGGCTTCGTGTAAAGGGATATATAATTGTGAAGAGACTCTCCATTGGCAAGCAGCAATGTCAGAGTTGGCCCTTCAAAAAACACACTTATGTGGACGCACAATATTGTGGCCTATCCGCGGTAGCCTGATCTATAACGGTGTCACTTACAATAAGGTTTGATCACAAAATCGGATGGCGGACCGACCTAACAGGACTCGCCCCTACAAAACAAGAGTTGCTGCGTCCCGCGTGTGAACTCTTGTTGGCAGCCCAATCAACAAGTGGCCTAGCAGACGTCCCCGTGGTTCGAAAAGACAACCCAAGACATGCTAATCCCTTCTGAGTTGCCAACCTCCTCTCTTGCTTGATGCTGCCTAAGTGACCCTTCCTTCTCGGTGTATCCTGTTCAACTTTCTCAGTGAAATGATTGACACACGAGCAGCCCAGCGAAATGAAACCAACCCTTCTTGGCAAAGTAGCTTCTGTTTATACCCCATATCTCAACTGAGATTCAGGTTTAGTAAGCTCATGGCATGAGGCGCTGAATGTATAGAGGTTGTCTGGACATCATACTACAATAGCCAAACCAACAAATAATTGTCCGAATAGGGCACTCTATAGACCATACTTTTTGCTCTTCAAAGGTGCAGAGTGCAAATGCTGACCTGGACATCATGTGAGAGGCACAAACAGCATCAATGACGTAGAACATAATCTGCAAAAGGGTCAAAAATGTTCAGCTGCGGTGATGGGTAGGCTTAATTCGCTTAGCCTTCACTTCAGTCCTACCGCAGTCCTTAGAGAAGGTCATGTCCCATCATACATCGCAAAATTTCCAATGAACCGACCAGGTGCCGCACTCATGCCGACCAGGCATCTCCAGTGCCGCACTCATGCCGTTAACTGCCGACCCCCTGCCGACCCCTGCCGTTCGGCGCTGTGTTTGCCGCAACGCCTGCCGCATGATGCCGGCAGTGCCTATGGCT